TCCATGAACAGTTTAATTTCTTGATTGTATTCAATCTATGAAAATTGTGATTTTTTATATCACGAAAGCATTAGATCTCATTTATATCCATATATCATTTATCGTAGACTTTATGGGGACAAATTTATTGATATGCCTCCCTATTTACGAATGAATGTCTGTTTTATAAAGTGAAAGAAAAAAGAGCTCACCGATTTCTTGGTACACCCTAAAGCTGTTTTAGTTCCACCAATTACATAAATGAGACCGCGGCATAATATAGCTGAATGATGATGACGTGAACCCAATGGTATATAAGACAAATGACGCCATTCCAAAACGGAAGTATCGTAAATGAGCACTTGATCACCGCAGTTCGGAAACCAAGTATCCTTGCTATTGACATTGGCATTATTGATAGAATTCTTTGAATGCTCAACGGATACCATACGACTGCCTTGCTGTTTTTGTGGCTGAGGCTGATTCTCACGCAGGCAATGCGAGCAATATGGATCAATACCACCAATCACTATAATTTTATAATCTAAAATGCTTTTCATTTACACTTAAGTTGTACAAAATTTTTGCATATCTTTATATGTATTTACCTATGCGCGTATACCTAAAAATGAAGAAGAACATATACAGATAAGCAAGTGCAAGTATGTTTTAATAAAAAGTAAACAATTAAATTATTACACCCGCCACCAAAAGATATGAAATTATGCTAGTCAAGGATGAACATTGCACACCCCCAACTTATAAAGGCAAATACACTTAGGCGATACGGCCACGGGAATTGGCCGATATTCATGTATGTAGGTGGACAATTTCTGGACAACAGTTTTTTTTTTGTTTTGTAACTTTTCTCTTTTCCGCGCAAAGATCACGCAAGAAATGAGTAGGAATACAATTATTATCGTCACACTCGCGCAACACACCGATATAGGTCATCACGCGTAGTAAACGTTGACAAATCCAAAAAACGCGAAGAAAGTTTAGAAGATGCTCGAAAAAAAAAATAAAAATAAATAAATAAATAAAACGCAATTTGCCTAAAAAAAAGGCAAGAGATCATCATCAAGGGGTCACTAACAAGTCAAATGGTTTATAAAGATTCCCGTAATAAGTTTCAAGTGATGCGTAGGGGAATATTGTGTCAGCACAAAATCGGGATCAGGGCCTTAGCCGAGCAAAACCGTTTGTGAAAAAAACAAGTAAAAGCACAATAGAGGACTATCGCCCATCCTACCTAATACCCTACACCACTCAACAGTTAGTCGTATATTAACGATCGAAAAATTTTCAACTGAATTCGTCTTCGGACCAAAAAATATCAACGCATCAGATTTCATCAAAACATTGCAAAAATTTGCAACCTGTAGGTTGAACACAAGAGAGTGGATTTTATAAGCGACGAGGAGGACCGAAGCACGATTGAATGGCGAAAAAAAGTTACGGCTGCCTAATGTTTCGGATCTTAATCCTTAATATCTTATCATGCGTGGCATGAGCATATATAGCATAAGACAAATCACTACGCATACACTACTATTTCGGAGCTAATATTAGTTACGATATTTTGGATTGAGTTAGCTCCACGTTTACTTTCGCAAAGATTGACGTAAAAAATGTAAACTCTTAGCAACTTTCCGGGATTATGAAAACAGATTTGACCGGCTTTCAAGCACTTTCCGAAAAAAGGCGAAATTTTGAAAAATATAAAGGTATGCTTTTCATCTGAGGCACTTTATCATTTGGTTAAGACGACGGGTTTATATAATTCGTCCCGACGACGTATATGATATTTTTTAATTCGTTTTACTTACTTTTGCCAACTATCCGTCATCTGTACAGATTTAAATAATTGCTGCCGCATTTCGTAAAATTCCTTAGTTTTATTGACCGGCATCGCAGCATTCGTCTTTCCGTCTATTTTCGTCCTATAATCACCATCATCATCGCAATCATTATCGGTATCGTTTTGCTTACCATCCTCATTACAATTATGTAGTGATCTCATATGCAACTTAACCTCCTCGTTATCGTGGTTGTCATGCAAAACATGTTGCTTTGTAGCCGCATCTACATGCAAACAATTACCGCTACCAGCACAACAATCGCCGCCACCTAGATTCTTATTAGTATTTGTTTCATTAGTTTTAAATATCACCGTTTTAATGTCCTCGTTTTTGAGGATTTGTTTCGATTGACGTGATTTTGACAAACGATGAAAATATCTATGCGGTTGCGGTTGCGGTTTACTGCAACAATCGTTCGCATTAATGCACTCGAGCATTATCGGCTGCTGAGCAACATGATTTTTTATAGCATCTTGATTATTACCATTATACGCATCGTTTTCTCCATCCTGCAGCGCATAGTCCGTTTCTGACTTTGTATACGTCGTTATTGTTGGTGTGCATCTTGGATTAGCACGTGGTGTTCTCCTGCAAGTGCTTACGCTGCCACCGATTCTATTTTGCATTTTATTCGCTGCAATAAAACAATGACTGATTTATTATAATAACAAATTTTATATTATCGAACAAGAAGAAAATTGCCGTAACCATTATCTGTGTATGTAATGTATTTACGCATAATATATAAAAATTTTTTTTTTATCAAGTCTGGACTATGAAAATAATACAGAAAACTTCTCAGCTAAAAGCTAATAATTATTTCAGAAATTTCAATATAAGAATGAAAAAAATAATGCAAAAAATTTATCTATAAAAAGTCATTCATCGAAATCCTTATATCGGATAGGATGTAAAAATGGGCGTAGATGATCCAAATTTTATAAAGTAGATTTTTATTATCATTACTATTATTATTATTATTATTAATTTCGCCAGAGAAATAAATTCGAAGAGTAACACTCTTAAAGCACTAGCATCTATGGCTATCAGCTTTTATTAAAAACTCTACCCGCACTTGAGATTCGAACCCACGAGATTTCTCGCCTTCGGCTGCTCAAATTGCTTCTTTTTTTAAAAATTGCATCATAACATATTAAAATTTAGACTTTTCCGCCATATAAAGGACCAAGTTTCGTGAAAATCCTTACCTAAAGTAGGATATGAAAAATAGACCAAGATGATTCAAATTTCGTACTGTTAATTTTTTCACTTTAAATTACTGTTACGATCTGATTTCAATCATAAAGCATTAAATATTAGAGCTTTTTGTCATATGAACTATCGTTTGTAGTTATATGAGAGGGGGATTCAAAAAAATTGCCCAACCCGATCCAAAATTTTGATTTAGAATGCCGAAATATAGTTAGTTTCGCCAATTCACAAATAGGTGTAAGTCAAGATTTTGTAATTTATATGAAATTATTAAATATTGAAAGAAAGCTTTCTTTCAGCAAGTAGCTTATCGATGATATTTTCTCGAAAGTCAACAAATCAAGTATAACCTCACTTTCTCACGGATGATTAATCCGAAAGATAAAATCTCGGCTATAATCTCACTTCCTTTGTCGCAAGCCTGCATCTGAAATTACATATATCTATCTCGTTGCACTGATTTGCAGCAACATGTAAAAATGTCAACTAACAGTATTTGCAAAATTACTGTCATTTGATCGTTACGAATGAAATTTATAGAGAATAGATTAAATAAATATCATGTGACACTGGATTTATAGTTTGCAAATGCAATTTCTGGATTTTTGTCAATGATGAACTAAAGGCTCCTACAGCGGTGCTAAGCCGCATGTTTGCATCAATAATGCAATTAGTCTACGCAAACACGTCGTATAGTCAAATATCTGTATTAGGGAGCCGATGGAATGAACATCAGATATTTTATATTAGAGTCAAAGTGTTATTTAGTAAACGGATCTCCATCGAGCTGGAAATTTTGCAAAACTTATCTTTTAATTTTTAGGCCTCTCTCTCTCTCTCTCTCTCTCTCTCTCTCTCTCTCTATATATATATATATATTGATTTTTTTAATAATTATAAACGTGCTACATTTATACTAAAGTGGTCCTACAATGCGTAGATATCATACAAAAGCTTCTTATGTTATTTAAAACACAACAAAACAAAAGTATCTAAACTAATGATGACAAATACAGTTCAATTCTGTCTGTTGATCTGAGCACAGGATGTCGATGAGTTCTTAAAAACCTATTTATATTGCAATAATATTGTAAAATAATCAAATATCGGAAATTACAAACAAGAAAACAAAAAAAAAATGTGCACAATTTTTAAAATCATTTCCGTTCTAAAATTTATTTACCGTTCAGGACACTTTCGATATGCGTGCGTCTGCGCTGAATTCTGATTCTTCATATATAATTAAAATTGTGTTTTTCACTTACCCCCCTTCAAATATTTATTGCAATATTTTGCGGAAGCGTTTTCGCATTGAATGCCTTGATCACGACTATCCCTTCTTAAATATTCGATCTGTAAGCAAACGCAAGCAAAACAAAAGCAAAATCTTAATAATAAAACCATTGTCCAATTTTTCAGATGATTTCAATTAAATAAATTAATTTTATTTTTAAAAAAAAAATAAATAAATAAATCGTATAAAGTAAATTAAAAATAAAAAACAATTTTATGTTTTTTTTTTTTTTTTTTTTTTTTGGTTTTATTCTTTTTTCTGAATAAAATATATTCATCGAAACGATGCCTATATCCATAATAATATACACAATAGACAAGCAATTTATTTTACACTACACAGATATAGCCACTAGATATTTTTCTAAGAAGCAAATTAAGGTACAATTAATTACACTGCATTGATTTGGTACGAAACAACAAAGCTTTTTTTTTTTTTTTTTTTATAGTAATCTTTTCAACATACTAAGTTTGGATCTGCCGGCTTACGGCAATCCGAGGGTACGCAGCACTGCATGTTCTTCTCAATTCCTTTCGCCATTTCGAGGTTGCGCCAATAATCTTTTCCAATGGTGAGTATCATTTCCAAATAATCCAAAAACGATTTATAAGTAACGCACTGCAAATTAGGGCACTCAAGACGGTGATGATAGTTGCATTCTTTATCAAAGACCCATTGGCGTTGCATAGGGGTTAAGAGTTGAAATCGTTGTAAAAACTGAAGAAAATCCTCACGTTTCTCTCCGTAATAGAATTGAGTAGTGGTATATCTGAAGAAGAACAGAGAGAGAGATAAAGAGAGAGAGAAAAAAAAAAGAAAAGAAAAGAAAAGCGAAACGCTTATAATAAATGTATTTACACGAGACTTATGTATGCATGTATTTATGCTCTATTATGTGAATCGAAAGAGAAATTTTAAACTTACGTTATACCGTCATTGATCATATTTCTAACTTCGGCATGGTTTACAATATGTTCGATTTCCGGGCATTCAGGATTTTTCATTAACGTTACTAAAAACCATGGTGGCATTAGACTAAATCGTACGCATCTAATAAGATCTAACATGTGACATTTTCTTTCCTCCCAATTATGACTTAACCAACGTACAACAGACATGAAAATCTAAAAAAAAAAATAAAAAAATAAAAAAAATTAAAAGTTAAAAATGTAATTAAGTCATGTATTAGAAGATTAAAATGTAATATCGTACTAAAAAAAAAGAAAAATATTAACATACTAGGTTTGGAAAGGACTCACCTCAGTTTCCGAATTGACACCAATTGTGTTCGATGACAGCAAAGCGCAAACTTCGTTAGCTGATAATATTAGAAATTCTTTAGAAGCGACCAAAGTCAAAAAGAATTTGCATATGCGCATCAACATCAATTGTTCTAAACTTTCTAAACAATATTTACGTGCCTCCAAATACAATAGAAAGGCAGTGTCTTCACGAAAACGTGCATCATCATCCAAACATAACCAACATTGATTAATTAGCTCTTTAATACGTAAAAAATTTGCGGCATTAAATAGCTCTAAAATACCCTCACGCTGAACTAACGGTTCCTCGGCTAACATCCAATCGTATACCATTACAAAAGCCGTAGGCGTAATCTTTTCTTCGGGTAATTGTATCAATACCTCATTATTGCAATCCATAAAAAAATCGGAATAGCACTGCAAAACCATCATGTGACAATTGAACGTAACACCGCCAATACGAATTTGTACATTCGGTTTGATATGATTATCAATCATATTCTTTAACAATTTGTAAAGGTTATCTTTCGGCGGTTGCACTATATTCTCCCAACCTTCGACTTCGTTTGGTTTGAAGCCCATATCCAATAAAGATTTCTCGCGTAGTTGACAATCGGATGCACGAGCAATAGTTTCACTTTTCTTGTCGATTAAGGGCAGTGTTGATGGTAAGATCTTGCTTGGAGGCGGTTTTAAATGCGTGGACTGTTGTTCAAAATTTACTAAAACATTACAAAAAAAAAAAAAACCATTCCATTAAAGTAAAAAAAACTCTTTGAAAATTGTAATTGAATTCATACGATTTTGAATTTTTTGAAAGTCTAAAAGGGCGACCTTAGATTGAACTGATGACTCCGAGTTATCAATAAAATTTGCACTAAAAATAGATATTTCATTATTTCAATAGAGATTTCTACATATATCTCTAATACACAAGCTATATAATTTAAATCTTACTTAGCATATTTCAAGTTACCAATATTATCGGAATATGGTGGAGAAGCCGTGGTAGTACCCGTTGTGGATATCGATGATTCATAGTTAAGTACTTTGCTTTTCTATTTTAAATCAATTCATAGAAAGAAATAATAAACAATTATGAAGGCATCAATACACGCCTCTTTAATACACACCTTGTGTCCAGATTTTTCCATATTATTTTTTATTTTATATGCATTAATATTCTTTACAAAAATATACCACAAGTCTTTGGAAAAAAAAAATTAAATTAAAATTATTAAAAATTCGAATAGACATACAATGTTTTTAGTTTTGACAACAAACAAAATGCAATGTCTACTAATTCATTCATTTCGAAAACACTTCAACCATTTTCAAAACTATGTTTGAAAAAAGGGGGAACAGAAAAAGTCGATAAACAATCGATCAATAAATAATAACTTATATAAATAATTTATTCATTGATGAAACATAATACAAATTACAAAAGTAAATCGGAAGCATTGCATATATAATTTAGAAAATATTAACGTATATCAAATCGATGTTTCTGTTCAGTATTGAGTTATTATAGCGATTTTCCCGAAGCATTTATCTCACTTGAGTGCTTAGTCTTCAAACTAATTTTTCTGTTCCCCCTTTTCGAAATGAGATAAACAGTTGCATGTATAGATCGACATGATTAAATGAAATTCGAAATTCCCGTTTCTTTCAGTAATTTGTTCTTTTGAAAATACGTAATTTTCCAACATTGCTTAGAAATATTAGACGACATTATATACTGACCTAGCGTCATTAATTGCTATTTATTTATTACGGTATTTGTGCAACTCGGGCAGTTTGTAGACGGTATAGTGTGGGATATGAGCGGGTATTGCTTTGGTTATTAGCTGTTTGTAGAAACTAATGCTTTATATGTAATTTAAAGCAAAAGCAATCATTCAATCATTCTTTTATATATATCTTATTTTTATATACATTTATTTATTATATAAAATGAAAATAATTTTTCTAATCTTTTATTTGAATTTTATACTTCTTTAATTAGATATTTTCTTAAGATAATTGAATAATCAATGAATATGATGGCAGATCAGTTCATCAATTCCGCGAACGCTGCCGTTGACCCAAGTAGTTCGGATGCTATGCGTCTACTGGATGCCAAACCTGCCGGTGTGAACGAACAGAAGGAAAGGCAAGCGTTGAAAAAGCAAACCTCCTCCAACATAATGTTCGTGCGTGGTGAGACTCAGGGCGTCGGATATAATGGCAAAATGGTTAATCCCGATGTAATTGATATCGGGGATAGTGATGATAATGCGGGATCAAAGTAACGCGGAAAATATTACGACCTCAGGAAAATCAGTAACAACGTGTTAAGATATCAATGATTTAGTTTTAAAAAAATTACGAATCGAGCAGCAGGAAATATCAACTAAAGTTTTTGGCAGTTTGAAGGTTCAAAATCAATCGGAATATATATCACGTGATATTAAAAAAATCTACTACAGCATTATACAGAATTCTACAATGATGTATGTGTAAAAAAATAGAATAAATTTTCATTTATCGTATTTACTTAAGTCAACATTTGCAATCATGCAGCTGAACACTCCTGAATTCTACTAAAAACGCTGAATTATGCTATTCGAACGTCTTTTATCGATTGCAGTATATTTTGTTTTTTGCTTTTATCGATATAATGTTATCGAACAATTATCATCTGGCATTTGTTTATAAAATTACATTTTTACCGATGCATTTTTTGTAGACTTTTAGAATTAAATTAAAGAAAAAAGGAACAAATTTTAGATTAATAGTGCCTTAATTAAAAAATTGTAAAATGATGACGGTATTCCGGAGACATTTTCTCAAATTACAATTTATTTTAGTTATTACGGCGGTCATTCTGGGAGTTTATTACCCAAAAATATGGGAGCAAATACGTTCGATTAATTTCGGAAAGAAAAAGACATCCAACGGGAATTTATCAGCTGAAAATTATAGTGACTTACTCCTCACTAAGGAACAGCTAAATGAGTTTAATGGTGTAGGTGGACAGCCTATTTATTTAGCTCTCTTAGGACGGGTGTACGATGTAACGCGGGGTGAAAAACATTATGGTCCAGGATGCGCTTATCATTTTTTTGCCGGAAGAGATGCATCCGTTGCATTCATAACGGGAGAATTTAAAAATTATATAGAAGATGAAGCGGATAATGTCCTGGCATTAAAATCTCCGGCAATTTTGTCCCTAATTAATTGGGAAAAATTTTATAAAAGCGACTACATCTACATAGGTAAAGTAATTGGCAGATTTTACGATGAATCTGGTCATCCCACAAAATATGAACACAAATTCAGAGCAATGGCAGAGGAAGCCGAATTCGATAAATTTAATGAACAAAAACTGAAAGATAAATATCCAGATTGCAATATTGAATGGTCAATAGAAAAAGGATCTCATGTCTGGTGCACTGAATCGAGTGGCGGTAAAGAGCGCAACTGGATTGGTTATCCTCGCAAACTCTATGATAACGGGAATGAGAATTTTAGGTGTGCTTGCGTTAAAAAAGAATACCTAGACACAAAGGAAGTGGTAATAACACCTTACGACAATTGTGAACGTGAATCCCAAGAATGTTATTATCATGTTAATTAAATTTATGAGTAAAAGTTATATTAAATTGTACTTAAAACTATATCACAATTATGCAATAACTGGTGCGACGTGTGGCGTGAGACAAAAATGTAGATTAGTTAACGAAATAATCAATATTTTTAGCATATAGTAAAACAGCGTTGCGATTTTGTGATCTAGTCACAAAATAAGATTTTTAGATAAATTTTAAAATTTATACAATATTTTATATTAAACAATTTTTTACGAATACCCTAATATATTTAAATGTAAAAACATCGTTAAGTGTTTTCAAAATAAAAATGTTACCTTCCAAGAAGTATGACTTGTTATTGGTATGGTATTATTAATTCGTTTGCACTCAATACCAAAAATGAAGAAGTCGCAGTTACAACCTATATAATCAAACATAGGATAATTAAACTTTTAAAAAATGGATCTATAAAAAGTTTTACATACGCACATTATTAGAAGTAATTAAACTGCTCATCTGCCTGTGTATTATATATGTGCTTGCTTATATTAACATAATTTATTTGTAATTTACAATAATTCATGTATGCGAAATAGAGGAACAGCTACAATTGCTTTCATCGCTTTTTCCAACATACTTACCAACTGAAGTGCCACATTTTCGATAAGACAATATCCTTGGATCGCATATGATATTCCACACTGCACCAAGTTGGAACAAGCAATCGTTCTTTGAATCAGTTTAGATCTTTAGATGCAAAAACTTTATAAATCTTAATTATCCGGTACTTATCGCGAATTTGATGCATTCTAAATGAATGTAACCCTGTACCGTCGTTTGGAAAGGTTATTTTTTTATTTTATATAGTTTGTATGTTTTTATTTATTTATTCTTTTTTTTATATCATGAAAATTGAAAAATTTTATGTTTGCTTTGTTCTATTGAATAAAATTTTACTGTCAATGTCCGATAAGGTTGCACAGTAAAGTCAAGGCTTCGAGTTAATTCATAACCAACGATAAAACATAGATTTATTGCAGTGGACTGAAAAGGCCAATTGGCTCCAAAGAAGGCGAAAGCAGTTCTATCTGTCGACAATGTCTAAGCGTCTACTTTTTGGGACAATTTGCTTATTTGAAGCAATCAAGTATAATTATTAATATGTCTTTTTTTTATTACTCAATCTGTCTGACAATTCAGTGAAATCCAACTTTTTCTTTTTTTACTACTTGGCAGTTAAAATTTTTTTTTTTTTTTTTTTTACATCATTTAAAAATGTTCTCCTTTAAGATATGTAGCGCATTTTTTTTTTCGTTGCTTCCCTAAGATAGGTAAATGAAAGATGAAAGATTATTGATTTCAATTTCCGTTTTTTTAAATTAACAAAAATTTAAAAAAACTTTTCAAAAAGTAATTCAAATTTGATCAATTTCTGAAAGATGAAAATAGGATGAAAATCAATTTACATTTATTATAACTAGTTCATCTGAATACACAAAATTTAAATAATTTAAAATCGCAAAAAAAAAGCATTTAGCGATTTCTGTCAGTTTCTCCCTCAGTGCCCGCGTTACGTTATACGTTTAACAACTATTGTTTTCTTTTCTTAACAATAGCCATATACTACGGCTCAATTGAAAAATTTCGCAAAATAGCTAGATGGTCAATAAATAAAATAAGCGAGCAAGAACTTTATGTAGGTAAAATTTTAAGTCTTAAACACGTCAATGCCTTATTAAGTATTACATGATGACATCGAATATAAACAAACGTTGTGAAAGAGCGTAAGATAGAACGAATAGATTTACTGAAATGCGTGTGTAAGAATGCACATTTACTTTGACAGCTCTATTTTCATGACCGCATGAATTGCAATTGCAATTCCAGCGTATCGGACGTGTGTGTAAATAAATGAATTTTTGACTCTGTGTTTTGCCGACGGCTTTGCATTTAACAGAATCGAATCCCTTTTGTCGGTAAAGTTGGGCATTTGGTCTGTTATTTAACAGAATCGATTCTTTTTTGTCGATTAAGTTGGGCCTTTAACATTAGCTGCTTGGCATTAACCTTTTTGTTAAGTTGGACATTTAACGATTTATTTATTAAAAGCGACTTTGTGCTCAACAGGGAACTTAACCATTTATTTATTTATGGCGCCTACCGTGCTTATATGCTTAATGTATCTTTCTCCGTTATAAAATTAATTTAATGCACAAAGCAGTTGTAGGTATTGAAAAATTGCGAAAAAAGTGAAAGAAAAGAAACTCAAAAATATTAATTGAGTGAAAAATTGAGAAAATTTAAAAATATTTCAAATAAAAATAGCGTTTGTATATAAAATCATTATCTTAGATCTATTTTCATCATAAAACTCCATAACACTATATATGACAGGGAATTGAAAAAATCGTCCAATCAAAATGATTCAAACAAACTAAACAAATGCAATTTCTCCCAACTCTGCAAACAATTTTTAATAATTTTTTAAAATTTGATCTGCTGATAGCGAAAAATGTCTATGGAAAAGCACCCAAATTTAAGACTCTAGCGCGACCAAACTAGAAAAGATCACCTATATTCACCTCTATCACATGAATGTGAGCGGTAGACGTGTATTCTTCTATTTCTATTTCTATTCCTACTGCGACTGCGTCCACGACAGCTCAAGTCTTCTTACTTTTTGAGCACATTTGGTGCACATTTAAATGCCTCCTTTCTCCTCTCTGATAATACGATTTGTTGTTGTTGTTGTTGTTGTTGTATTAAGAGAGTATGCACGGTATGCACAATTGCATAGACAGACAGACAGATAACCGGTTATTACCAATACTCCAACTTTTGAAATTATTGAACAAGCATTATCGCAACAATGTATTCATGAGACGATAACTCCTACATCGATATTATTCTCGCAAATTGTGAACAGAATATACATATGAATATAAGTACGTTCTATATGCACTTGATATGTAATGAAACATTGATTGATTGAGATTGTTTGCTTGCATATAGACTGGATGAAAGACACGGACACGTTTACAGCGCCACCCAACCGAAAAAACTTGAACATTTTTAAATTCTTCCCATCTAACGTTCGCAGTATTTTCATATAAAACTTGCGTATATTAAAGTTGTCTTTCCATACGCAACGCTCGTAAATACGAATAAACTGCTATATGATAAGCATAAGGCAAAAAATATCAAATGATAGTTTTACTTTCTATCATATATGTGTTATATAACAAAATCTATCACTCTTGATTTTGATTTTTACACTTTTCTAAGTACTTTTCAATATAATCAATGATAGAAATTGCATTTAACATAAGAGCAAAAGCAAAGCGTGAAAGAATTTTTTTTGCAAAAATTTTGATCATTTTTTCAGTTAAAAAAGGCATTTATTGGGAAAACTTGGTACAATGTATATTAAACGAAATATTTTTTGGTCATTTTCTCTAACTTTTTCCCATCTCTTTGGCAACCTATGGATCGCGTGTCGAAAGAATTTATTTTAGATTGGTAGCCATCCACCCATCAAACCATTTTCGCACTTTCTCAACTTTGCGGATCCGCATAAGTGATTCTGATTAGAAGACGCCATGTCTGATGAGAACACTGGATGTGGCAGAATTCCCATTCGAGTTGCAACAGTGCATGCGGAACAATTCTTGCAACAAGTTGCCTAAAAATGACATTTTTAGACAATTCGTGTCGCCCACCTTTAACACGTTGGAATATGATGGAAAAGGGTCACCATTAGCCTCTGAACGTGTTTGATGGTCCTCGATAGCAACTTTCTTCAAATAAACAACGAAAGCAATAAATTTAAAAGGAGAAAAATTTTGAGCGCTCCATGATTAGTGAACAAATCAATAATATTAAATGGAACGCGGTTGTTTTATATAGAGCAACGTCAAAACCCTTCGAATTCAACTGTTATCTATACTGGTATTCCCCATTTCTTTACCATTTTCACCTGCAGAAATCGCTGATTAAAAATTTTGCAAGCACGTAATAAAAAAATTTATCTTTTTTTCGGGTCTTTGTGTGAACTTTGGGGGAAAACATAATGAATCTTCGCTTAAAATTCCACCAGTTCATTTTTTTTTTTTTAAATTTCAATACACATATCTATAGAACGCATAGACTTTTTTAAATTTATATAATAAATATAAGAATATTTTCTATTTTAATTATGTATGACGAAGCAACATTCGAACGAGCCGTAGTATAAGATGACAGGGTTGTGCGTCTCCAATGTCATGTGTAAGAGAAAATCTCGTACGCTTTTTTGCTTGATCCACTATATTTATTAAGAAAATCATATATATTTTAATGTTTCATTTATGCTCTTATACATAAGTACATCATATTTATCATCATTTTAAATTCTGTATTGCTTAGTAAAGATAGAAAAAAAACCAAGCAATTTATTTACATAATATGTGAGTATATTCTTTGCAAAACGTTGATACGTAACGATAAATAACGATAAATATTCGAACAAAAATACTAATATTGCGATTGTTTCTAAAGCCATTATGCTATTATCCATATCTAAAGCGGTGCCTAATTGTTTTCTATGTGGTCGCGATAATTTATTAGTTCTCAACGGAGCATCGTTAAATTGAAATATTTGCGTACATTTAGCAATAAAACCATGAAGTCGTAATCTTGTCAGCAAGCGATCTATCGCGGGCTTCAGATAGGTGTAACGTGGAATACATTCTCACGTACCAAGGCATACCTGGATATATTTTCCGTACGCTGTGGCATATAGAACGTAACAATAGGTAATGGACTCAATAGACCCACATTGCCATCTAATATATCGAATCGATTAAAGACTTGATTCGATGCAGTGGAGACGATTTGAGTTATTTTCTTAAGATTTGGTAAATACTCCAATATATGCGCGGAATTGACATCAGTTAATAGGGTGAAATTTTGTTTAATAATTGTATCAATAGTTTGCGGCAACGGTCTATTTGCAGTGTTATGCATAATTTCGAATAAAAATCCTTCATACGAGGAACGTAAGAAAAATACTAAACCCATCCATAAAACAAGAAATAGTTTGAGAAATCTCCTTCTCAAGCCGATTAAGGTTGATTGGCAAAGACGCTGCACTAAAATTTTCGCGGCGAAAGCAAATGCGAATAACAGGCAATTTGAAATTTGAAATGGTTTCATAAATAGACGTAACGATGAAAATTTATCTTGATTTTTCAATAAAATTACATAGTTCAATAAAAAGTATGGTATTGAACTGCTCGTTAATATTGAACGTTTCGGTAGGCATATAGCACAACCGATAGTCATATTGGCTTTCCGTTCAATTAGCTGTAGGAAAGAAAGGAAAAATAAATTTGTTATCGAATTTTATTTTAGAGTTAAAAACAAAAAATAATAATAAAATTGATTTTAATACATTGTTCAGTGAAAGAAATTAAGAAAACGCAAGGGAGCTCCGAGCTCTTTATGAAGTCTTAACAACCAATAATCATAATATTTTCAAAGGGTTAAATAAAAAAGTCACGTAATTATAGCATATTTTTCGGCTCTCCATGAATTTTCAACATGCAATATAATAATAACATTTGCAAAAATTTAAATAGAAAAGTTACGTGCATAAGATTTCTGCTTATTTTGCATAAGATTTCTGCTTTTAGAATGCATTTCTTAGCAAGCAAATGCCTATCAGAACAAAAACATTTTATACATATTTATGGTGGAAAACCTCGCTAGCAAACATTTGTGCAAGAAAATTATTAATTACATTTGTGCATCAGGATAGAACTTCAACTTTGCCGACTTTTTAAAATACTTTGTAGGGAGCGATTGTTGATATCGTTTTATATGTATACACACAAATAAAGCAAAAAGAAAAGAACGCACTAAAAGAAATAAAGACGATTTATTTTACACTTTGAAATTATTTATCTAAATTGGGTTTATTTTGCACTAATTTAACTCTTTTTTTATGTCATGCAAATTAAAACTTAATTTACACTCTATATTATTTTAAAGGAAATGAAAAACAAGCAAAAATCCTAGTCATTTTTCTCTATTCTTTATTAATTTATTCAATCAAGAATTCAAGTTTTAGCTCGCTTTTACATGAATTTTCCTGTCGCTTTCTTTAACATATTTATTATGTTGACTTCCATACTTTTGCTTCTCAAACCATATGTCTTTTTTTATATTTACGTCGATTTCCTTATATTTTATTATAAAATAGTATGGCAACGCGCTTCCTCATTTTATTTCCACTTAACCCGAAAAACTGAATAAGCATCATTGTGTGAAGTGTTTAGAGTATATATGAAAAGATATTTTAGGAATTACAGTATACTTTAAGAAAGGAATATAAGAAAATTCGGTACTACGCAACTCTGAACTGCGTCCAAGTTAGAATTTGTTGAGATAACATGGAATTGATTTTGAATCATTTTATTGTGGTATATATTCAAAGAAGATGACATCATTATTTTACAGTGAACCCGAATTTGTTATTGCTTTACATAAATTGATTATATTTGTTAACCCAAATGATTTGCAAATATTCAAAGAAATTACTTTGCCCGACGATCTCACAAAATGCGGCGAGGGTAAATTCGTAATATCTCAAACGGAGGACGAAGGTGATGAGGATTCGAAACAGCAACAACAAGGGAATTTAAATAAAGAATCACCTATAATTCAACATGTAAAATTATCAAACAATTCACAAATGTTAGCAGTTGCTACGTCTGGTCAAAAGGCTTTATTGCTCTATAAACTCAGGCCAGAACATGGTAAGCTAATGTGTATACGGTCATTGACCAGGGCATGTAGTGGTTTGGTATTCAGTAAAAATGGAAAACGATTATTGGTTACGGACAAAACGGGTGATTGCTATGAGTATGATTGTGAGGATATGGAGGCTAAACCTAAACTTTTGTTGGGTCATTTGAGCATCGTGTACGATGTGCTGTGGTCTGCCGATGAAAAGTATATTATTACTTGTGATAGGGACGATAAAATTCGTGTTAGCCATTATCCTAACACGCATGATATTCATGGTTATTGTTTGGGTCATAAAGAATTCGTTTCAGCTTTGGGTTTCTTGAACAACGATATATTGATTTCGGTTTCCGGAGATAAATCTCTAAGATTATGGGACTTCAAAGAAAGCAAAGAATTGAAAAAATTGGATTTGCCCGCTCCTGGCTTAAAATTTTCCTTGCGCCTTTTAGGAGCCGACAAGTACCAACTGGCAGTCTTACTTTACCAACCAAACAAGTGTGTGGCTTTATACGAAATACATCGTTCCCATGAAGAATGGAAATTCTCAGACTGTCAGCTATCAAGTTTCCCTGATATAATTGGCTTTAACTTATGCTTTGCCGGCGAACGTCTCTATGTAGCTGGGGCGGTAAATCAGCGCTTAAGCCTACAGGTGGATGCAAATAGTCCCAGTGCTCCAAAATATTGGTTGCAAATGGTCGAAGACCAATTTAAGGATTTCGAATGGCAACCGGAAGATAAATCCAGTTGGTTCAAGAAGAAGTATGACAATGTTAGTGACTATTTGGAGCGTAAACAACGCCGGATTGAAGAAAAGAAAAATTAAAATACGTCTTAACATATTTTTTTTTTAATAAATGTATTTATTTATATTTAAGTAATCCAAAAATGTAATTTTTAAAAAAAAAGGAAATGAGAAATTACACTGGCTTGTAATCTAATTTGCTTTCCAACTTTTTATTGTCCGACACTTTACGTACTGCTTTCATAAAGTCTTCTTGTATGACATATTCACGTTCAGCTCTGCATACAGAAAATATATAAAATAAATGAAATTCACCCATCTTTTCCATTAAACTTACCGTATAGCGAAAAGACCCGCTTCTGTGCCTACGTTACGTAAATCGGCGCCGTTAAAGTTATCAGAAAGCTTAACAATAGCTTCATAATCGATTTCACCATGTTTGGCTATTTTGGCTGCATGGATTTTTATGATTTCCAAACTACAAGGCAAAAAACTAACTAAGTAACCAATAAAGTGCCGTGCAACGTTCGACGCTTACCGAGCTTGTTCATTAGGTAAAGGTATTTCAATTTTACGATCCAAACGACCAGGTCGTAACAGAGCAGGATCTAATGTATCGGGACGATTGGTAGCCATAATCATTTTTACTTGACCTAAGCTATCGAAGCCATCCATTTGATTCAGTAATTCCATTAGAGTACGTTGAATCTCACGATCAGCTGAGGTACCTTCCGAGAAACGTCTGCCACCAATAGCATCAATCTCGTCCATGAAAATTATGCAAGGTTGATGATCGCGAGCATAATTAAACATTTCACGTATCAAACGGGCACTTTCGCCGATATATTTGTCGACTATAGCAGAGGAAACAACTTTTAGAAAATTAGCGTCCAATTGTGAAGCTACAGCACGAGCTAATAGTGTTTTGCCTGTGCCAGGAGGACCATACAGTAAGCAACCTTTAGGTGGAGTAATACCAACGCGCAAGAATAATTCTGGATTTAATAAAGGCAATTCAATGACTTCGCGCAGCTCTCGGATTTGCTCTGAAAGACCACCAATAGCTGAATATTTAACATCCCCTGGGTCTTCGTGCGACATATTATACACCAGGGGATCGACTTCCCGCGGCAAATAACGCATAATAGTTAAAGTGGTCATATCCAAAGCTACTCGAGTGCCAGATTTCAGCTTAGTTTTATCTAATTGACGACGGCAACCCACAACATATCGTGGACCATTGGTAGCTTTAACAATAACTAGATAAAATTATGAAGAGTTGGGATACGAGTTCACTACGCAATGTTACTATGATTGCTGAGCATTACTTACATTTATCCTCGGTTAATTGCTTTAATACTTCACCTACTATTTGACCCACACTTTGTAGAGCTTTTAAGTCATTTTCCGACTTATCATATTGTTTGGTCAACTCTTTGATTTCTTCACGCTCTTCAAAGGAGATTTTAAAATGTATAAACCAAAAAGAAAAAATAATTCAAAACAAGAAATTGCCATACTTTCTTTAAGACGTGACTCCACCTCTTTATGTTCTAACAATTTTTTGCGATAGTCAAATAGAGCTTTTTCTCTTACACCATCTGTAGCAGTAGGGCCGGTAGTCATGTTGGAATTATAATATAATTTTAATAAATCTACTTTTATCAAAAATCCTCGGATCTACACTTTACACGCCAGTATTTAATCGAAGTGCGTGAATTGGCACAAAAACTTGTATGGAAAATGTTTGTTCTTATTGCTAACTCTATGAAGAAATTTTCGATAACTTATCGTTACCAAAGACTATCGATATATTTTTACCCCATTTGACAAATAAATACCCATTGTTGGGATTTAAACACTTTACATTTTACATTATAAGATGATTTTTTATGACATACAATTGCTTTAGTTTCGAAAGTATATTTAGTTACAATTATAATTGAGTTTTTTTTAGTATAAAAATCAAATATATAAATGATATGATATAACGAAACAATAAAATAGATAAAGCAAAAACAAAAAGTAGTCATAGTGTTGTTTGTGTGTTATGCAATTTTGACAGTTCGTTCACTAATGTCTCATTAGCATTTCATTACACTAGTAATCTGTTGGGGTGTCGTATTTAGAAACTTTACTCTTTTTTTTGTTGGTGCGCTTTGAAAATGGCGAATTTTCTTAGGATTTCAAGTTTATTTAGCACTCAGAGCCGCACTTTCAGTTCGAAATTTAATGATGTACTAATAGTATCTGCCACTCGCACCCCCATGGGTAGTTTTCAAAGTCAATTGGCTCCTTTGTCGGCGACCCAACTTGGTGCCGTGGCGATTGAGGCAGCAGTGCAGCGCGCTGGTTTAAGCAAAGAGGATATACAAGAAGTTTATATGGGCAATGTTGTGTCTGCTGGTTTGGGCCAGGCGCCAGCTCGTCAAGCTGCTATTTTTGCTGGTCTACCGAAAAATGTGTGTTGTACAACTATAAATAAAGTCTGCTCATCGGGCATGAAGTCAGTTATGCTTGCTGCTCAAACTTTAATGTTAGGTCAATCCGAAATTATTGTGGCTGGTGGTATGGAATCAATGTCTAATGTACCCTATTATCTGAGAAGAGGTCAAACCGCTTATGGGGGTATCAACTTAATTGATGGAATCGTATTCGATGGTTTATGGGATGTATATAATAAATTTCATATGGGAAATTGTGCTGAAAATACAGCCAAAAAAATGGGAATCAGTCGTCAAGACCAAGATGATTATGCTGTAAACTCTTATAAACGGTCGGCGAAAGCATGGTCTGATAAGGTGTACGATGCTGAAATCGTACCAGTTCGAATTCAGCAAAAACGAAAACCAGAGATAGTCGTCGCTGAAGACGAGGAATATAAGCGAGTTAATTTTGATAAATTTGGTAATCTCGCCACAGTATTCCAAAAAGAAAATGGCACCGTCACCGCTGGGAACGCTTCAACATTAAATGACGGAGCTTCGGCCGTAGTCCTTATGACCGCTGAAGCCGCTGCTCAAAAGAATTTGAAGCCGTTAGCACGTATAGTAGCTTTTCAGGACGCTGAAACCGATCCTATCGATTTCCCCATAGCTCCAGCTTTCGCCGTACCTAAACTCTTGCAGAAAGCTGGAGTGAAAAAGGAAGATATTGCTATGTGGGAAATTAATGAAGCTTTTTCTCTCGTTGTAGTGGCCAATATGCGTAAATTGGACATCGATTCAGCTAAGGTGAATATACACGGTGGTGCTGTATCTTTGGGGCATCCGATTGGCATGTCTGGTGCTCGTTTGGTCACTCATTTATCGCATGCTCTCAAGCCAGGCGAATATGGTTGTGCCTCCATTTGCAATGGTGGTGGTGGGGCCTCTTCTATATTATTGCAAAAATTATAAACGAACTAGAATATTTGGATCGAGATTCAAGTGCCTCATAATTAAAAGTGAAACCAGTAAGCATTTATTTCCAATTGGTGTTATATATTAAAAATAAGAAGATATGAGATTGTGTTGTAAATAAAATATTAAAATTCGATACTATTTTTTTTCGTTTCCTTTTTTATATATGCGATTATTTAATTAATTTATGTAATATATTCATATGCTCATTCACATGCATATGTGATATTGTAGCCATTGAAAGCAAATCTGCCACGTAATTGCAAAGCACGTTTAAAGTCAGACTGTTGTCGAGGAACCTTATCAGGCAAGAGAGTCGTCATGCGACTAGACGGTACGCCAACACCTCCCCCGATATGCTTTATAATTTGATTGATTGTTTATATTTTTCTAGTTTTGTAGTTACTATAATCAAAATTCAAGTTTTACATATGCTTTTTAGTGCATTGTTGCAAATATTTCCGAAACTTATAAGAAGACGTGGAGCTTGTAAGGCACAGTATATCATGAAGACAAAATGTCATCGAATAAATACCGAAGGAATTTAAAGTTGAGGATACAATGTCGCGACGAGTTGCAAAAATCCCCTAATGGATCAAACTTATTAAATGTATTGCAGGATCTGCTATAAGACATTCTCATTTATGCCTATATCAAGTTAAGGAGCTCATCGGAAATTTAAAAAAAATTTGAGATTTACGTGGCCACCAACAAAATTCGAGGATGACAGTAAATACATATATAACGGATCTAAGAAAACAGAGCATTGATATATTTAAATATATACATAAATCAATTAGCTCTGAAAATACTGAAATTTCGTATATAAAAATGTAGACTGATTCAAAAATTAGAAATAATATAACCAATCAAACCTCCAATAATACAAACGAATAAAGTTAATCATTTTAAGTTGTTATGTATAAAGGAATAATATTATTATAGGACTAGGAAAAATGACTAGATATCTTGCGCCACTATTAAAGGCTTTCTAAGCCTCTTCAGTATATCTCATTTTTGATTCCAAGAAGCCTTTCAGAGCACGTTCTTTTGAGCCTTAACATATTTCTAATTCGTGGTTTCTATGAGATTGAAAAAAATGGCGTTGGCGTTATTAACGTCATTCTGGCCGACAAAAACTTTCGCTGATTTTGTGGATTTTCCAAAAATGTGTAATAATTGGTTTTACTTTACGTTATGACAGCTTGTTTGTTTGATGTAAAATATACCCACACAAGTCATCGATGCGAGATTAATGTGTATATGTTCTCAGTAATTTGTATAAAAATTCCATACAATTGAGAAAATAAAAATTGTTTACAATTGAGAATGTTTGAATAAATTTCTTTGTATGTATTGTGGGAATTTAGAGAATAAGCGTATACAATTATCAAGAATTTTG